CTGTCAAATAAATGAATAAAAAAATCTTTAAAAAAAAAAAAAAAAGATTGCTTAGTCCATCTTTGAATGACTTGCACCCCCTAGCATAAAAACACTCAAATTGAGTAGTGCAACCTGCAGCACTGAGCTTCTTTATTTGTAAGCTTTTTTTTAATTAACTATTTGTTTAAAGATTCTATTTACTTATTTATTTGTCAGAGAGAGAGAGAGAGAGCACAAGCAGGGGGAGCGGCAGGCAGAGGGAGAAGCAGGCTCCCTGCTGAGCAAGGAGCCCCATGCGGGGCTCCATCCCAGGACCTGGGATCACAACCCAAACCGAAGGCAGACACTTAACCAACTGAGCCACCCAGGCATCCCTGTTTGTCAGCTTTTAAGTGTACAAAGAAGGGCTGGCAAAAAATGAACACGGTTTTGCTTTGTGAATCCATCTAGTGGCTTATGGGTCAAATGTAGTCCTCATGATCTTGACTGAAACTAACTTTAAAAAAAAATTTTTACTCATCTAACATATACCCATGAACCATGAGGCTGAACTGTCCGGCCACTGTGGGCTTGTGTAACTGATGGATGATAGGCCGGCGTGTGAGAGCAGGCTTGCCCTCATAAAACCCTCAGTGGCAGCAAGGTGTCAATAAATATATACCGTTGAGTCGTTCAGGTGCAAATTCACTAATATTTCATCATGAAACAGCAATATTATGGAGGATTACTCATAGGAATTTGACTCATGCTTGCGTTGTTTACAAGATGTGATGTCACAAGTGGGCTCTCTGAACTCACCATTGTTAATCCCTACAGCGTAGATGCAGATACATTTCTGACCATCTGGAGTGTCAGAGTCTCTGGAGGTGATCTCTAACAAAGCCAAACTCAGTCCAAAACATATTATGTACGTTAGTTTCCTCTTGATCGTATTAGAGCCGTGCTTCATTCCACACCATACAAAGAAGCCCATCTATTATAGCCATTCTCCCTTATAAAATTCCTCTAGGCCATTCCTCCTATTTCATTTCGCCTGCACTCAAGAGAGAATAACAGGTGGCTTATCAAATATAGTAACATTCAGTTGAATTATTTGACCTGAAAATGATGGCAGTCATTGTTGCTGAATGCTGACATGGATACAAGATTTAAGGTACATTTTTAGTACCTTCTTGGTTCCTGTTTCTTTAGTTGGACCTGGGGATATCCTTTTTAATGGTAATGATGTCATGAAATCATGTCATGTGGCCAAATCCAGTCTAGGAAACCAAAAAGCACCAAATGAAGCGCCTAATGCTTAAAGTAACAAGATGATGTATAGAGAGTATTTAACACAATGAATGAGTCACAAATAAATTGTTAATAGACTGCAAAGATTTTTGTTTGGTAAGAGAACAAAAGTATATCCTCTGTAGGAGGAAAAATAACATGTGCTCATAACGCCATTTTGATCAAGCATTAGGCAAGTAATAGGTATATTTCAACTTAAAATAATGAAAGCATTGACTCTCAGAAACACTACTTCATGGAAATTGACAAAATGATTACTTTTTAAGGCATGGAAAAGAAAAATTTATGAACTTCTTTTTTCCCCCTTGAGTTATTTCTGTCTTGTCTCACATTTACTGAAATAAAGAACTTTACAATTCCAAGTGGGAAAACTCTAACATGACATTCTTCAGATAGACTTTCCATTGCTTACCAAGAACAAAAAACCAAAACCCCAAGCAAAACAAAAAAAAACGAGTCCGGAAAAGGAGTGCTGTGATAGTTAATTAGCAAATGACGAATTAAGCTATCACTCCTTCGAATTCTTGGAAATGATTTCCAGGGCATCTTGGAATTATTACAGTGGTGTTATTAACAAATGCTATCCCGTTTGTTATATGACTATTTTACTTAGAAAATTTCCATGTCAGGTTATGGTTTGTAGATCTAACCTGGCAGAAATGAAAACATACTTGAAGGCATGCTTGTCGAACCGACAGCTGGCTCTGGTGCAGAGATGATGTTTACAATAAAGAGCAGAAAGCCAGGCAGCTCGGTTGCTAAGACAGCTGGGTCTTTGGAGCTGACCTCTCTTTTTTTGTTATTTTAGGAATTCTCCTACTTTCAAATCATTTGAGGAGAGGGTTGAGACAACTGTCACAAGCCTTAAGGTACAGATGAAGTGAATTTTGTGTCATGGGGTCCCGTGAATCAGGACAGCTTAGTCATTGTGGTGGTTAATTCTGAAGGCGGGACTGCCAGCATTCGGTGCAGCCAGGAAGAAAGCCTTGCACAGAGTCTGTCTTTTTCTTCACATATAAATCTGTCAGTAAAACCAGTATCGGAGAGTGTTGCTGGATCCTCACAGAGTTGTTTCCACAAACCATTTGAGGGTGATGACTTGTGAACATGAACTGGGATTTGTGTTCACATCTTTGCAGGTTAGAACTCTAGTGCTGTCCCCTCAAAAACTGGTATGTGAGAGAGGATTGCGGGTAGGATCGAGGGTATGTGAATTCTGAATTTAGAGGTTAAGTGGAGGGTCTCCAACAGCTCATAGCCCCTCTGGTTTGCACATGGGCTAGCAAAAACGAACTTGGCCCCCTGCGTTACACCGCCTCCCCTCTCCCGTCAGCTACCCAGACTTGTTTACTCCATTCCTAGACCGAGCACAGCACAGCATGATGATCATGGAGGGAAAATCAAACTGAGTCACAACGAGCATTCTTTTGTAATAACGCATTTGATCCCCAGCTTTAAACTGAAAATACGCCTGTGTCATGGGAGGTGTTAAAAAAAATTTCATTGACTTTATCATTTGAGTGTAGATGAATTCATCTACAGAGGAAGAAAGCACAAATAAAATCAGTCTAGTCTCAAAATGAGACTTTCAAAACAGGAAAAATCATTGAAACAACTAAGATTATGTTTTTAAAGATACCAGCTAAACAGTGATTTAAATAGTCTTGATATTCTTATCGCTATTTAGTAGATAGTCCATTTCTGTATTTCCCTATCTGGGAAAATGAAGAATGCAGGGGATCTTTAAGCAGATCAAAGCAGGTGTGTGCACATGCTGATCATCCAGCTGCTTCTGAATCCTCTGCCACCATGTGCTGCCTGATCCGTCTGTGAGACTGTAAGGTATTCCTCACTAGAGCTCCTGCATGCTCTGATTGTGACTTGGAGAGTCTTTCCTCTTAGGGGAGGCTCTTCCACAGTCTCCTGCTTCTGCTTTATCGGGCCTGGGATTAGATGTTTAAGGCCCAAGAATGAGATTATTACTCAGCATTTCCCAGGCCTTGCTTTCACTTACCAGCACTTTGTAGTCGTGCGATTCCATGACCCTGCTTGTCAACATCATTGCTTATTGAGTATCTGGGGACCCGTAGGAGCCATTGAATTGCCCCCATGTGTAGGGAAAGCTTTGATAAGGAGGGACGTGCAGTGCCTGGAACATTTCTCTTGCTAGAATATCAGGTTTCAAAACTAAGGGTTCAGAAAATCCTAGGAGTTAATTTCTCAGCATTTGGTTCCCAGCCTTAGATAGTGGAAGGAGGATGGATTCTGTTGCTTGTTAGACCAGTTCTGACATAGGAGGAGTTGTACTTTTTAGGTTTTCTTTAGAAGAAGGAGATACGAAGAAGCAAAAGAAGAATAAACAACAACCTATTTCCCTTTGCTTTTAGGAAGCTCTGGTAAGCTCACAGCTCACATATGATTTAAGTGTTTGATCCACAGTCTGAGCTTCTCACTTCTCTCACTTTACTGGGATGGAAGGTGTAGAGCCTGTCTCCTCCTTCAGACGTGCACAAAACTAACTCAGCCGGCCAGATCCTAGCCTGTGTCAAGACTTCCTGAAAGTGGGTTCCGTGTCTGCATGATTGTCCCCGGGGTTTAACAAGACTCACATCCCACCCACCTCCCCTATGTCACAGCCGATGCCTACTTCCTCTTTTTCTGCCCACCCAGGCAGTGGAGAATAAATAGCTAATAATTGTGCTTTGTGTAAAACTCCCCACTCACTCAGTCATTGCAAGTTCCTCATTTTTTTTTTTCTCCAGACTAAATAATAGATGTTTAACCCTTCTTTATGTAGTTTATTTGCCGCATAGTTCTGTGTTCTAAATTTTCTCCAAAATTTCTATAACGTTCTTCAATTTATGGATCCTGGGGCTGTTTCCGGCTGACTCACAAATCAGTAAGGATGAATCAGTAAGGAAATGCCTCGCAGGTCTCTGCTATGGTTCTCCTCACACATACTGCTTTAAGCTTGATTTTTAAAACATCGCTCAAACGGAATCCTGTTCATATTTGCGTTATATGAGAAATAATGTTCTGCTGGGAAAGGAGGTCCGTTCTTACCATCTGTCACACACCATGTGGCATTTATACTGATTGTTCTTCCTTTATACCCAGTTCTGTAACAGCTTGGTTTTCCATGTCATCACCATTATATAAAATTTAGTCCTGTTTGCCTAGATCCTTCGAATACATCACTCTCTCACCTGATGACATCTCAGCTGGTTTCACCTATAAACTCGATGAATGCACTTTCTATTTCCTCTAAAACAAACAAGCAAGCACAGCTCCGATGAAACCGTATTTGTTATGTTCCACCAGGGAATCATGAACAACTATATCCCTTCCAACCATTCTGATCATTTAACCTTCCAATCATTCTTCGAACCATGTCAAGCAGACCATATTTTTAGTGCACCTCTTTTTGGTGAATACTTTGCATGGCTTTATTTAAAACCTTAAGAAAAAGACAAGATATACTTACTACTTCTTTGTATCTTCTCAACCAGCCATATTATTATGAGAGATTACGCGGCCCAACTCAATAATTCAAATAGAATTTTATGCAAACAACAATTATAGTTTTGGGGATAAAGTGACAAATGCTTGGATGAGCCATTAGGAAGGAAAGGGTCCAGGAGAGTTTTATTGTTCACATCTTTGCTGATGCAACTCCTCACCTAAATAATCGCTGTGTACAGTCATTCAACCCACGTGGTTAGGAAACCCCTTTATTCCACTCAACCGTCTTGGTTAAAAACCCCTTCATTGCACTCCCTTTTTTTGACAAATTGCTTTAAAACGATTCCCACCTTTATTTTTCTATTTTGATTTGAGAAAAATCAAGAACTAGGAGAAGAGAAAGCAACAAAGCCCAAAAGAAAACATCAGTAATTGGTATTCACTTGATTCAAAACTGTGTGTGACTTCTGTTGCAAAACAGAATGCAGATACAATAAAGAGGAGAATGGGAACTCTTAATAGAGTGGATTACATTGAATTAATCTTGTTTCTCTCCAGAAAGAAATAAACATAGTGAAAAATCACATAGTTGGAAGCAACCCCTGCTTCTTCCCAGTGCTGAGATGACACAGAGTCAGGGAGGAATCAGTGCTCAGTGCCAGAGGTCTGCAAATTAAGGCCTGTGGGCTAAATCCAGCTGGTTGCCTATTTTTTGAATGGCCTGTAAGCTAAGAATGGTTTTTATATTTTTTAATGGTTGAAAAAAATCAAAGGAAGAATGCTATTTTGTGACGTGTTAAAATTAAATTACATGAAATCCACATTTCAGTGTCCATACACAGTCTTCTGTAAACACAGCCATGCTCATTCACTTATGTGTTGTTTTTGGCTGCTTTGTACAATGGTTGATTTGAGTATTTGTGACAGTGACTATGTGATTCCTAAGCTTAAAATATGTGTTATCGGTCACTTTCCAGAATGAGTTTCCTGACCCCAAGCAGAGTGGAAAATTTGACTTAGGAATTGAATCTAAAGAGGCAGAGAAGGATTTTAGTGACACCTGGAGAAAAGTGTATGCTTGTTTTGGAATGTTAGACTGGTTTTAAAACCTGGTTACCTTTTGTAAAGGGCAGACCAGGCAGTGAGTGGATACATGTCGCAGTGTGGCTTACGTTCCTCTGAGTGATCACTTTGGTGGCAGTGAGGAGTAGACAGCATTTTGGGAATAGCAACATTTTCTATTCTGTACCTTTCTTTTCCTCAACGTGTTTTCCCATACTGTTAGTGGTTAAAGGAAAACCAGTGCGACAATTAATAAGACTTGCATTAAACATTAAATATTCTTTTGAAGGACTTTTTAATACAGAATTTTTCAAAACATTTTACCCATATTTCTTAATATATTTCTTATTAATTGATTTCTTCCTGATTTTGTTCTTATTACCAATAACAAGTACACAAAAAGGGAGCCTCCTAAAGCATCATAACTTTGCATTTCAAGGGATAGCCCTCCTTGAGGGGCAACTGCCTAGAAAGATGTGAAGTGGGCAGTGCTTAAGATCTGAGTCCTGTCTGCCTCTCAGAACAGAGACCAGAAAACATGTTCAGTGGAACTGTTCAGCCTTTTCAAAAGCCATTTGTCAGGGATCCAGGTAGCCTTTCTTAAGTCCCAGTAGGAAGCCTAAATTGGAGTCACTTAAAGATGTTTATACACTTTTTAAGTTGAGGGAATTTATCTAAAATCCAGTTCTGTTTCAATTACATCTGTTCTCAGGGTGATGTGTAGACAAATCCACAGATCTGGATATGCTCCTGAAGGGGTTGAGATTTTTAGATGTCAGAAGGCATAAAGAGAGCATTGCTAAAATTGTACAGAATTGAAGTTTTGGATCCTCTCCCAGATCCCAAGTATGAATGGCATTCTAGCACTCTGCTAAAGGAAACTAACTTCTCTACACCCTTTACGTTCCCTTTCAAGAAAAAAACTATTTTTGAACTCGAGAGTAGTCCGTTTTTACACAAACGTTGCAGACCTGATGAACTAACTATGTTTGCATCTCTGACCTTTCAGACGAAAGTAGGCGGGGCGAACCACGGCGGAGGCAGCTTCGAAGAGGTGCTCAGCTCCACGGCACACGCCAGCGCGCAGAGCTCGGGGGGCGGGCCCCGGCGGGCCGAGGAGGAGGAGCTGCAGTGCTAGGGCAGCCCCCTGCAGCCGCCCCGAGCCCCGGCCCCGCCCAGCCGACCAAAATCGCGCTGGGAAAAACCCAGGCCTTGACCTTGTTCTTCAAACGGCCTCTCCGCAGAGTTTAATAAAATGATTTCCATTTTGTATTTGTGTTAATGATGGACCACGTGACCATCACATTCAGTATTCGTAGACTGTCATAATTTAAAATGTCCCCACTTGAGCAGGTACAAAATTGATCATAACCCTTGTCTTTGTGTAATTCAGCTTATTGTAGCTATTAATGATCCAAACTCGTAGCTATTAATGATCGGCTTTGGTTTTCCCTTGGACTCCTTTATGATGTGCATGTCTTTGAAGGCTGAGAGTGGTGAACACCCCCTTCCAGGTCGGTCAGGTGGGCGGGATAGAGTTTTTCTGACCTTCTCCAGCAACAGGATGGGTTCACTGCAAATTTCATCAAACTGCTTGCGATCGCCCTCACTTGCATCAATTATATGTTTGTTTAAGCAATTAAAATAATTGGTTTTAATGAAGACTTTGAATTCTTAATTTCTTTACGTCTTCAGGGCAGGTAATGACTTTAAAAGATGGTAGCTATGAATCTGCAAATGCTATATTTTTTTTTTTTTTAAAGATTTTATTAGAGAGCACGAGCAGGGGGGAGAGGCAGAAGGAGAGGGAGAAACAGACTCCCCGGTGAACAGGGAGCCCGAAGCCAAACGGGGCTCCCGCCACTCTGCGATGCTATTTTAAATCAACGTCTACTGCTAATTTGGTGAACATAAGAGGATGTGTAAGTAATTATAACCTCAGCGACCCTACCAATTCTAAAATTATCTCTATTCCACATAGAGTAGCAAACTCAGGTAAGGGAGACCTGAAAGGGGGTGGCCAGAAAATGGGAGAAACAGTTCTGCTTCCCCTTCCATTTTGCAAATTGCTCACATGAATGAAAAAAGCATCATATTAATACAATCAGGTTTCTGCAGGAATTTTTACCTTTCGCATCATATGCTTCTCTTTTCTTCTAAATGGGACCTATACATTTGTTACTAGGTAGCACACACACATCCTATAGATGCAATTTTTAAGTGAACACAGAATTGACCTATTAACTTAAAAAAGCACCGTTTAATATATATATTATTCATGCAATATATATTTTATGTTATTTATTCATTGTTTAATTTACTTAGAAATATATATATTTCTTTTTATTTTTTGATGTAGTGTTCCATGATTCATTGTTTGCGTATAACACCCAGTGCTCCATTCAGTACGTGCCCTCCTTAATACCCATCACCAGGCTAACCCATCCCCTCACCCCCTCCCCTCTAGAGCCCTGTTTGTTTCTCAGAGTCCACAGTCTTTCATGGTTTGTCTCCCCCTCCGATTTCCCCCCCTTCATTTTGGGAAATATAGATATTTCTACATAAAATATATGTATTTTATAAATTATACACACATATGTATACATATATATATACATATATAGCGTAGTGAAATAAAGCCAGTCTGAAAAATTCTATTCAAATTAATGGAGCAGGACAATCCACACATCTAACTGAAAATCAAGCGAGTTCAAAGCCACATAATCTCTGAGGCTTGCAGTCTTAGCCGAGATAGGTATGGGGCTATAATCTTGAACCAGCGTGGACAATGAAGCCCTGCCAGTAGGATCATTGGCATTCTCTCTAACTTAACCTTCCAGCATGTTGGTTGAAGCCAAACCCTGTCCAGCTGGCTTGTAATTTGCTCACCCACCGCTGCATGTGGCTGTCAATCTCTGTGCTCAATTTGCAGTTGCCTGGTGTGTTTGAAATGGTCACCTTTTATAAACTCACTTCTTGACCGCATTCTTTTTGACTGCACTCAGCAAACTGCACCGTATTAGAAAAAGCAGAGTTACAGTGCTATACACAAATATCTTCATTCACCAACCGATTTCTGCACAGGTAAGTCTCAGCCTTACGTATGACCTGAATACATAGTATTAACAGTGACTAGAAAAACAATCAAGATAATTAGTGTTCATGTCTCAAAGCTTCAAATACATTTTAGCCTCTTATTTTAAACCATGCTTCAAAACTTTGAATTTCATCAGTTTTATAAAAACTATATTCATGTCAGCTCTATTAATTGAAAGGTTTTTATGATTATTATTCACTCTGATCTGGGAGTGAGATAAGGGACCATGACATGAGTAGGCTTTCATTTTGTCAAACGAAATGTGAAGAAGTCACATTACTGGGGCGCCTGGGTGGCTCAGTTGTTAAGCGTCTGCCTTCTGCTCAGGTCCTGGGATCGAGCCCCGCAGCGGGCTCCCTGCTCCGCAGGAAGCCTGCTTCTCCCTCTCCCACTCCCCCTGCTTGTGTTCCCTCTCTCGCTGTGTCTCTCTCCATCAAATAAATAAATCTTTAAAAAAAAAATCATATTACTCCAGTCGTTGGTAGGTGGGTAGTCAGCATAGACGTTTCATTTCCTCACGGCCTAATCACTCAAGAGGTGCCTGTTTCTCCCTTACTTTGTGCCTGTGCAAGCTCCTCCTGACTTAATTTTACCCTGGGTTTCCTTATTAGGTCCAGCGGGGCTCAGTTCACACGCAGTAGTACTGTCTCCACGAGTGCTAAAAGGTATTTGCACGCCATGGGCTTAACCATTCACTAAAAAAATCAAAATGACTTCAGGTCAACACCATGTATACAAAATTAATATCACAACCCCGATAACCTCGAATTCCAATGTGAATTGTGATTACAAAATAAACTGGCTTTTTTAAAGTAAGCAGTTCTGTAATGTAACCATTTGCTACTTTTTAAATACCATTGCTTGATGGAAAATACTCATAGATTTACGCTACAACTTTATCTTACAACTCACATCTCATGAAAACTATGACTGTTGGTAAGTCATGTCAGCAAAGCAACCTGCCTCTTACTCTGAATTACACATTTTCTTACAAAGCTGTTCTTGAACCGTAGACAACAAAACAAACTACATGCTTTATTACAGAACGTCTTGACAAACCACGCCATTCACAGTGGTCAACGCAAAGAAAACCCCAGAAGTCTAACCTGCGGCTCTGTCACTATTCATTGTTCCAGAGTTACCTGTCGGGGCCTGAAAGCTGTTGCACTTCACTGCAAAATGGAGCATAAGGTGGTTGTGAACTTGAACCACAACACCCCCTCTCACTTAGTATCAAATTGGAGGGTAGGCAGGTGCAGGAAAGGGCAATGGCCCTAGGGTGAAAAAGTGGTTTCAACATGAAATGTAAAAAAATGACTTCAAACCTGGTGTTCAGATATAATTTCAAACTATAATATTTGGCAACATCTTATGGTTGCTTGGTAATCTCTAAGAATGGTAAAATTCTTTACACGTCTACCTGACTTTTAGTTCATACCATAAAGAGTATGTATCAAGGCAATTAAAAAATAAGATACTCATAAGTCTCCCACAGGAATCATCCCAACCCCACTTTGAATATGAAGACTGGCAAACTACTTAAATAAAACTGCTGGGCACAGAGGATGCTTTTCCACCTGGCACTTCATCAGTCATTTATCACAGAGTGATAATGTGCCACCAGACTGAGATGAACAGGTTGGACCTTCTGTTAGAATTGACATTTTTCGAATAGAAGGGCATTGAGACTTACATTAACAGCTGGTGAAATGCCAGTCCACAAGGCAGAAACAAGGAACTTTAAAAAAAAAAAAGAACTCACCCCCCACCTAGCTGCTAGAAGCTGCTGTGTTTTCCAAAATGCCCAGTTCCTTAGCAGGAAAAAAAAAAAAAAAAAAACCCCACCCCCCACCCCACCCCAGTCAGCTCCCCCACCTGAGATGTGTCCCCTCCAACTACCCCTGCAGCCCTGCCTTTCCACCCCGCCTTTTGAGTGGGGTAGTCTCTCTTCTTCATTGCAAGGAAGTAATGCATTCTTTTCTGTTGAGTTCAACCCAATAATAATGTTTTGCACCACATCATAATTATAGGGTTTGTTATTCAGAAGATCAATTCCAGGCAAGTAGCAGGTATCTTCCAGGAGAAAACAAAAAATTTTTAAATGATAATGCTCGAATATTTGTAGACTTGGCTGGTGAATTCGATAGCTTTTTCTATTGATTCTTTTTCTATTGATCTTCACTGTGTTATTAAATAGGATTTATAGCACCATTACATTTTCTTTCCCTTCTTAAACCTATTACCCCAGTAAGGAAGATTTAGAACTAAGTGTGAACTTGGTAGGTAGATGGAAAACTGAGACGATGACCAGTAGGTGACCAGTAGTATTAAGTCTGATCCAGTAGAGGCTCCCTAGTCTATGAATTTATGAAAATTACAGCAGGCAAAACATCCCAAGTAAAGCTTCAGGGCCACAGAAAATCTTCTGGTTAGAAATATTTGAATTTTTATCTGCATTTATTTTATGGGTGTATGTTCATGCCAGGAGAAAAAAAAATCCAAAATCCTGATAAGATGCAACAGTATGTTGAAGCCAAGCAGCATTGCTCTTTTCAGTGCAGAGTAGCTATATGTACACGTGTGTTGCTTCTGAAGAGATCATGCACTTTGCTTCCGGCAGATTGGGTATCCATGGATACTGCAAAGAGTTTCCAAAGAAACGCTGCCTAGAATATTCTCACCACGCCAGACTAGCAGGCCCTCACATGGAAACTGACACTTGAATTAAAGGGATAGGCATCATTGCTTCACACCAAAATACTGGGCAGGTTTGCATGGATAGTCTTCTTTGCCTCACCATTCAGTGGTTGTGCATCACTTAAAGGCAAGCAGGGTAGGTTACTTATCCAATGAAAGGAAATGAGGGGAAGAAACTGGATCTGTGTTCCCTACATAAGGTGCAGCGACCCCAGTAATACTCTTCTGATTACAGATTTCTTACCCGGCGATCAATGTTCTTATAAATCAAGGTCTGAATATTTATACATCAGACAGGGAAAAATTACACAGAGGCATACAAGTGGCACTTGACATTGTGTGCCTGAATTTATCCCCAAATGACCAAATGGATTAGGGGGAGAGGCAGAACCTGTTAACAGGTTTACACGTCTATGACCAAGGGTCTAAAGCAGGTCACAGTGAAATGAACAATGGGGCTCCACAGAGTGATCGTCTGAACAAAGCAGCATTTCGTAAATTCATTGTGATACATTCTTTTCCTGGATCCTTATCACTAAGTCAGCTGAAGAATCTGTTCTTAAAAGTCATCATAACTTAATTTTCCATCAATCCATGAATCGGGCCTTCAGGGTTATGGGTTATTAGTTTAGAATAAAATGATTTAAAATCTCCAATAAATACGCCAAAGCTTAAGGTTTTAAAAATTTATTTATTTAGTTCATACAGAGCTCCCCCCCGCTGCCCCCAGCCTTCATCCAGGGCATTTTCAGGACCACATCCTGTTCCTTAGCTTCTTTTATTATCCAGATTGTATCACACGTTTCTTACTGGAGTCCAGGCAATGGAAAATAAACAGACTCACATCCGGGGAATCAACACAGCAACAGTGGCAAAACACACCACCACGAAAGGGCAAAACACAATGTCTGTCACAGGAGTGCAGCAACAGAGGACACGTCAGGAGCTCAGCTCACTGGTGGGAGCTGCTATGTTGGCGTTTCTTTCTGCCTCAAGTTCAGAAACAAGCTGGACTATCTCAGGGTGACTGAATTTTCCTGCAAGGCAAGAAGACCGGAAAAAGATACTGACAAGAGAATCCATCAATGTCTTCAGCTTGATCCCAGGCTTGTCAGGGGCTCGACTCTAGAGATTCACTCCAACGCAGAAGAACACAACTCCAGGTCCTGGGGAGGGGACCACTTGGAGATCATGCTCCATCACCCCAGATGCCACCGAGCACTAGGGATGAGGATCGGACAAAGAACTGTCCCATTAGACAGAGCTAGGGGAGACCGCACCAGGCGGCCTCTGAATGCTTCTACCGGGAACCACAAAGAAACTCAGGACAGCACCCAGAGAACTGAAAGCAATCCCTGTCCATTCGGAAACTGCAAAGGATGGGGGAACAAAGCACCTACATACAGAAAGACTAGTAGGAAGGCAGAAGGTCTAGGCTGTCCCACGATGCAAACGTTCCTCTTGCAAACACTTCTACACCATACCCCACTGATCTATGCTGTCTTCCCTGCTCCTCAGCCCTCCCAGATTTCTGTCTTGGGCAGCAACCAACCTACAAGCTATCTTAGGTTCAAAGTGGCTGGCACATGGGAATATTACACCCACCCTCCTTCCCTGTATTTTCGTTTTTTGGTTTTGGTTTTTGTTTTGCCAGTACCTTTTGTTGTTTACTGTTCATTCCACATTTAACTCTGTTCCATTTATTCCCTATTCTCAACCTCTTCTTTGAACGTTCCCTTCACTTTCTTGCGCTGATGTCTGGCTCGTCCTGAGGATATGGCTTTCCCTGCAGCCTTGTCACACAGTGGCCGTTTCCTCTCTCACATGGCTTTTGTCACTGGGCTTGGGTCTGTCCCCTATGTTCCCCTTGCCTCCAGGCCACTCTCTGCCCCACTATGTAAAGCTCATGTAATTACTGCCATTCCACCAAAATGGCTCTTATTGAGGACACACCAATTAGCTCCACATTGCTGAATCCGATGGCTCCTCCTTCCCTCTTGAAACACTTTCTTCCCTTCGCTTTTGGGACCCCTGATTTTCTCCTCTGAAACCTATTTTTCCCCCATCTTCTCCATCTAGTGGCAACTCCATTCTTCTATAGTTGCTCAGACCAAAATCCTTGGACTTCTCTCATAAACACCGCCACACAAATCTTGTCGACCTTTATATTCAGAATATATCCAGAATCTGACCACCCCTTCCTTTTTCTACCACTACCACCTGGCTCAAACCACTAGAAGACTGCAATAGCCCCCAGTCAGTCTCCCTGCTTCCAGCCCAAGTGACCCTTTCAAAACATAAGTCAGATCATGCTCGTCCTGCAGTCCACCTTCTCCAAGGGGTCCCCATCTCACTCAGAGCCCACGCCAACCACCAATACTGGCCGGCGGGCCTCAGCCCACTTCTCTGGCCTCACCTGCAACCCTCTCCTCTCATCTACCCCCACAAGCCACACTGGCCTCCACGCTGTTCCTCGAACACACAGAGTTTCAAAAAGAAAAGAGAAAAAGCCTTAAGTGGTGACTGAATTAGAGAAATAAAAATGTGTTATCAAACTAAAGCCTTTATGTCCCCTTCAAAATCCTCATAAGGGGGGCACCTAGCTCTCAGTCGGCAGAGCACGCGACTCTTGATCTCAGGGTCACGAGTTCAAGCCCCATGCTGGGGGTACAGATTACTAAAAAGAAAAATCCTCATAAGGTCACAATGTACATCTTCACCTCTCCCTAACTAAACTTGTTTTTTCCTTCAAGCATTATTGGGATAAGTAAGAAACCACGCCTTATATCAGTTACATTACTTACAATTATTAATTTTTTAATAGAGTGGTGCATCAGAGTGGAAAGTAAAGTGAATTTTAACCTAAACTCAGCTGAGGAAGCACTATCCTCTTTCTCAGCTCCAGTGTCTTCCTCAATAAAATGTGGAGTTTAAACCAGATGACCCTCCTACCTCCGATTTTTTGATTCTACTAGGAGTCTCATGTTTCATTTTCTATTTTTCACTGTGAATGTATCAAAATAGAAAATGATAGCGTTAAAATGCAAAGCACCACACAAACATGACTTGTATTTCAGTTACATTATTGGCAAAATATGCTATCCTGGAACCCAATCATTGCTTAGAATAGGTTTGCAAACCTTTGCTGTAAAGAGTAACACAGTAAATACTTCAGGCTTTGTGAACTATGTGGTCTCTGTTGCCAGCTACTCAATTCTGCTCAATTCTGCTGCTGGGGTGTAAAAGCTGTAAGACAATACATAGAGAATAAGTGTGGCTGTTTCCATAAAACTTTATTTATATGAACAAGCAACAGTCCAAACTTGGCCCATGAGCCATAGTTTGCTGATCCCTAGTTTAGACTGCTATTCTATTTAACTGAACTCAAACATTTCTGAGCACCACCTGTAACAAAAACAGATGAGACAAACCTGGTCTTGGCCCTCAAACAGTTTACTATGGGGTAGAGTGAGCAACTGGGGGTTTGGGAAGAGACCCAACAAGAAACATCACTAAAGAGAACGCAAGTCAGACTGTCACAACACTGTGGAAAGCTCTAGACCAAATGCAGATTGAGCAAAAAGAAGGGAACGCCTAATTCTGAGAGGGATCAGAAAAGGAGACCAGGGAGAGGAGTGGCCTCAGACTGCACAGCTGTTGAGCACAGAAGTTTTGAAAATGAAGATGTGATAATACCTATGTCTACAAAGGAGGAAAACACTGAGTCCTGCAGGATGAGCTCGTGAGCCTGGCTGGCGGAGTTAGGAAGTAATGACAAGAATCCAATACAGAAATAAGGAGGGCCTTGTCTGACGCAGAGGAAGTGGGGCTGGAAAAGAGGGAAGGAGAGTCGAATCAACCTCATGATGATGCACATCATATCCTGGAGCACAGCCTGTGAGCTGGGAGCCACGTGACGTGCCGAAAAGTCCCCGACGGGCCATCTCTAGCAGTGCTCTCAGGGGAGACGGGGGCCGAGCTGAGCCTGAGGAACTCCGGGGGACGAGAGACGGAGCTGTGCTCCAGGGAAGCCCCACGAACCACAGCCAGTACTCCTACAGGCTCTGAGCTTCACCAGAAATTGTATCACAATGAAGACAGTGAAGGCTTATTGCCCGATGATGCTAAGCATTTCACACGAACTAATCCGCTAGATCTTGAAATACCTCTATAAAGTAGATTCTATAATTATCCTTATTTTAAAGATTTTTTTTTAAAGTAATCTCTATACCCAACATGGGGCTCAAACTTACAGCCCTGAGATCGAGAGTTGCTTGCTCCACCGACTGAGCCCGACAGGTGTCCCTATAATCATCCTTATTTGAATAATACGGAAACTAAGGTCCAGAGCTAGGTTAAGTAATCTGCTGGAGGTTACATGGGTTATATGGGGCAGAACTAGAACCAGTTGAACGCCAGGTCCGTGCCATGAAGCACTATAATGACAATGGTGACTTCACGGTTTGGGGTTTTCTACTTTCAACATCTTTTTTTCTACCTCCATCTTCTATGACTTTACTTCTATAAAGCACTTCCAGATTATAAGGCACTTTCACAGACATTCTCTCTTTTGAATCTCAAAACCCACCTCTGACTCAAGGAGGGTAAGCTTTATGCTTTCTATTTCTGGGGGAGGGCAGAGAGAGGCCAGGGCAGGCACTGCCCGGGGCACAGAGCCAGCTGTGACTGTGACCCTGGCTTGTCGCTCAGAGCAAAGGGCAGCAATGCTCTCACGCGCCAGGCTGCCCCTCACCAGGAAGCCCACCAATTCCCTGTGGAAGGAAGCGTCATTAGAAGGTAACAACAGCGGATCCCACTAACGCGACGCCAGTCACTACGCTAGGAGGAAGCCCAACTAAAACGGTGTTTCCTGAGGACAGCGCCGAGTACCTGCCGTGGAATCATAGAAGTCCTGCAGCCTCCCAGGTTTGCTCTCCAGGTTCTCATACTCGGAGGCCTGAAGAATCATCTCACATCGGTCCAGCTGC